TCTAGGAACGACATTTTAAGAAATAAAGCCGAAAGACTTTAGAAACTCAATTTGACCATAAAAGGAGAAACCCGGTGAAATCTATCCGGACAAGTAGATCGATGCTTGAGCCTATTCATTATAAACTCATTCAAAAATGGGAGGGTTTATTTAGTGCAGCTTTATCGGTAAGGCAATTCTAAAAGACAAATATTTTTGTAAATTTAGTATAAATTTTTCTGCTTTAGTAGCGAACCCTTTTATGAAAATTAATGAATATTTTATCAGTTATTATATTCTTTTAGTTAATTGTTTCTAAATATTGAAGAAATTAATTTAAGCCTGTCCCGTATGTATATGAATTGTGGATTAATTGAATAACTTGACTTATATAATTAAATATATTTGATAATTGTCTAAATTTAGAAGCAAAGACGAAAGATGAGCTATGGCATGCATTTTAATTATTGTTAATTAGGAAGCTGAAGAAATATTTGATAATTATATTGAGTTTTCTTACAATATTCACAGAGGATGCCGATGCTCGATCTATTTATGTTAGCAAAGTATGTGTATTATATTCCTGTTAGATAGAATTTTAATGCTTACTATAATAATTAGTTCTCTTTTCATAGGTTAATCGAAAAATCACTGCCCAAGTTTTGCGCGTTCATTTTGAACAATGTGGTGAAATTATAGGAATCAAAATTATCTGTAAAATTTTCAGCGATGATGTCAATGATGACGTAGGGTATGTTAACTTCTTGCAATTTCATGAAATTTTAACATATAAAAGATAAACCATATCGCTTGTATTTCACATAGGCATGCTTTTATAGAATTCAGTAAGGCATCAAGTGTAGAGGATGCATTGCATTTAGATATAAGCAGTATAATGGAATATAGAGTTGTGGTATATTTAATATCAGATTTCTTATTACATAAATTAATTTCTAATTGGGTGGTTTGTCTTATTCATATAATATTTTAAAGGTCCGCAGAAAATTCAGCAATGTCCGTACAATCTATGTTGGCAATGTGAGCATATAAATTTGCATTCATTATATTTACATAACCTTTTTTACTATAATTTATTCACTAATTAATAAAAACTATATTTTTCATATTCTTTATTATAACAATGTTTTAGCTTCATGATGAAATTACCAGAGATGAATTAGAAAATCCTTTTCAAATTTATGGAAATGTACTCGACATCGCAATAAACGATAGGTATTTGAACTTTTGATTACATTAAACTTGAAATATCAGATAATATTATTTATTATTCTACCACCTTACAAGCAAAAACGGAAAATATGCATTCATAGTGTTTGCCACGAAAGAAATGGCAGAACATGCGCTACAGGCAGACGGTGAAGAGCTTGGTGGAAGACAGATCCGTGTATTGCCTATATTCATATTTATATTTAAATTCATTTTAGAAATTTGACTCACGCACTTTTTTAAATGCTTCTAGGTCAGAAGATATTTTCTAAGTGAAAATTCAATACGGATTGCCGGTGTATATATTTTCTCCTATTAGTAACTATAATACTTAATATTGTTCAATATCGTGCTCACAATTTCAATCTTATTTTAGTTTGGTGAATCTATCTCACCTGGTAATTTATGTCGTCATTTTAAGGGGTGCGGGAAAATAAAACAAGTTTCTATTTATGATAGCCGTAGAGGGTATTTTAATATGTATTAATACATTTTTCGATATGCAAAGAATTACAATAAATTAAAATTAATGTTGAATTATTATGTAGACGATCTGCAATCATGAATTTTGTTAATTCTTATTCGGTCGAAAGAGCGCTGCGAAAGAACAACACTATGTTGATAAATACTCCATATGAAATTAAGGTACAGTGAATATTATCCTTATTAAAATAATATAAAATGATATAAAATTTAAATTTACTATTATTATTTTCATTTTTTAAAATTTTGAAGGTTTACAGATGCACTACCGTGTAGAATACAACAAAATGATTTTAAATGTAGACCTAAATATTACCAATTGATATTAACACGTTAAAGTTTTTCAATCTGTTGTACAATGTTGTTTATCATTATAAGGTATATGACGTTTATCGTTATAAGATATTAATAACAATGATGTTATCATTATAAGATATTAATAACAATAAGGTTTTATTGTTTTTATTATAATTTAATATATCTTGTTTGATCAATAGTTAATTTTCATCATATGATATCATGTACGTAGTATTCCGGAAATTCTACGGATAGAACTTCGGGACAGAGCAGGTCACGTGATATTATCAAGAGAGAAAATTAAAAATTTTCTTAAATCTAAATCAAAATATCTTAGCAACCACCCGACCAAATTCGAAGAACTTTTTATTAGAATTCTATGAATCCATAGAATTAATGAAAAAAATTTCATCGAATTTGGACAGGTGGTTATAGAGATATCTTCGCTCAAAGTAGGAGAAAAATCAACAAAATAAAGCTACGTCAATTTTTTAAAATTTTGAGTGAAAATATCTCCACATCTACCTAGACAAAATACAATAAAAATTTTTATTTAAATTCTATGAATTCGTAGAATTCAAATAAAAAAAATTTTTATCAAATTTGTTCAGGTGGTTGTGGAGATATCTTCGCTCAAATTTAAAGAAAAATCAAAACACTTATTAAAATAGAAGCTACATCAATTTTTTTAAAATTTGAACGGATATCTCCACAACCACCTAAGCAAATTCGCTAAAAATTTTTTAGTTGAATTCTTTAGATTCATAGAATTCAAATAAAAAAAAACATATCTTCGTTCAAATTGTTAAAAAATTGGTTTAGCTATTTTAATAGGCATTTGATTTTCTCTAACTTTAAGCGAAGATATCTCTGCAACCACCTGCCCAAACTCGACAAATTTTTTTATTTGAATTCTATGGATCCATATAATTTAAATAAAAAAAATTTATCAAATTTGGCTAGGTAGTTGTGGAGATATCTTCGCTAAATGTTTTTAAAAAATTAGCGTAACCTTTATTTTGTTGATTTTCTTTTACTTCAAGCGAAGATATCTCTATAATCACCTGTCCAAATTCGATGAAACCTTTTTCATTAGAATTCTGCGGATTCATAGAATTCAAATAAAAAAGTTTCGTCGAATTTGGTCAGGTGGTTGCTAAGATATTTGATTTAGAGTTAGGAAAAGTTTTATTTTTCTCTTCCTGAGAACATCAAGTGACTCTGCTCTGTTCGTAGAATTTCCGTAGTATTCATACATACCTTGGGAACGTGATCGAGATCGATCACCATTATTATGTTTCATAAATTAATTGTCGATTAGGCCACACAAAGTAAATTTTTCGTTTAACATTACATGAAATCTGAAAATTGGGTCATTTGGTCGATATATATATATATATTAAATTTACTTTAAATTAATAGAATTATGTTCGTATTTTAAGGTTATGCAAAGTTATTCTTTTTTTGCATAATAAGGAATTAGAAAATTGGGTTGGCTGTCGTTTTTTTCTGTCGGTCCTATCGGATAATTCCGGGATATCGGGTGTCTCCATCGGGTGATTAGTTAACACAATTTAACACAATAGAACAACGCTCATAAAATCATGAAATGTCAACTTGCCAAATTTATACTTGGCGCTTGATTATTTACAAACTATTTTGAGCGAAAAAATGGCCAAAAAAGTCAACTAAATGTTTCACGGATTTGAAAGCGTTGTATATAGCTCTTGGTTATGGCTATGGTTATTATTATGGTTATACACCCTGATAACCGAAAAGAAAATCAAACTAAAAATGGTGAATATATAACAAATATTAAGAAAATTTGTTATTTCACAATAGATGTAGATTGCCAATTTCTAGAATTTTCAATTTACAATAATTTTTCACTCGAATTTTTTTTTGCCGCCCAGATTATTTGATAATCGCAATGTTTCTTAGCGATCGTAGTTTATGTTGATCGACCAACAATGAAATCTGCGTATAGTAACTGTTGATTGGTTGTACGAAACTTGATCAAAACGTTAATACTAATATATCAACTAGATAGCTGCGCGACGCCGTCGCGCGAAACCAGGAACGAAAGATCTAGATGGTGGTTAGATATGATGAGAAGAAATATAATATATTAGTAATTTAATTAGTGATTGTTGATCAATTCTTTGAATGCTATTTACCAACTAATTGAATTTCCTGACGCTATAATGTTGACATGACATTTCATACACAGGTCATTTTTTTAATAATACGTACATTTGATATTTAATTTTTTTCAATAATCTGTTTCTTAACAATATATTTACTGATAATTATTTATTTAATTTTAAATTTGGTGATTATACAGATTTAGAGTTAGTGTTGGTTGGAATTATATGTTGTGAAATTTTTGGGAGAAAGTTTTGTCTAAGAGATGGATTGTTGAAAAAGTGTAATGTTATTAAAAAAATGAGGATGGGAGTAACGTTAAATGTATGTGTTATTAAAAAAACGAGGATGGGATGAAATATTATTTCGACATTATAGCGTCGGGGAAATGAATTAACAGCTTTCAGGAATTGTATTGTAAATAATTAGTTTCATAAGAAAAGGTAATTCAATTATTATTTGTTATTTTTATTAGAGATTATTTATTATATGATAAACTCATATGATTATGAAAAGTTTTCTTTTTGTTTTTTTTTTTATGTGTTATGATGCAACTTTGTTTATTCCATCATTCAAATTAAAAATTTAGCGAGCGAATTCATATTAATAATGATTATAAATTGTCGGATAATATATTTATCTGGGAAATTGTCGAATACGGTAATTTGATAAATTATTGGCTACATGTGATGCAAAAAGGTATGTGATTATTTGACAAATTACTGTTGTTCGATAATATTTTTCTAATAATGTATAAGTATATTTAATAATTAAACTTTAATATCAGTATTAATAGATATGCTTTATTCTATTAATAATTGTTTTGAAGTTTCTTATTTATTATAATTATGTAGATCAGAGAATCATGTCTTTTATAAACTGCTATAATTATTGTATTTCCTGTATCAGCAGGAAATTTTTAAAATAATTAAGTTTTAAAATTATGAAAGACTTTATAGTTAAGAAAATACATATGGAAATAGGTTTACTACATTGCATAAGCTATTAAGCTAAGAGAAAGTACAGTTTTATAGTTCCAATTATTTAAAAGACATAAACCACTTATATTAGAGGCCATCATCTGATTCAACAAAATCCAAGGCATTATCTTACTCTAAGGGTACGAATTCTCTAACTTAATTACAAAATTAGAAAACACCTTTATAAAGAGAAAGAAAGATTTTTAGAAAATTGATGATTTTTCTAACAGTAGTCATTGCAATATGCTAAGCTGTCGAGCTACTTAACAAAGAAAATTACGAGTAAGCAGAGAGGTTCAAAAGAGCTAGCCTTGTTAAAGTGAGCAATAGTGAACCGAAAAATACTTGAATTACCCTTTAAAGAACCAAACTTAAACACTCTTAATCTATATAATTTTTCTTACACTTTCTCATTTAATACAATCTACATAATCATACTCCTTAATTAACCTTAATAAATTTCATTATTATTTATTATTGGTTTATTAATTTTAATGAACAACAAGGTTAAAGAATGCAATGCTAAGGGAGTTTTTTATATGACTGCTTCGATTAGTAAGAGATGATTAAGTTGTGAAATAATGCTAAATTATCAAGAAGTTTGAATTATTTTTTTTACGTAGCATGTCGATTAATAGGTTGTCTATATGAAATAAAAAATTTAGATTATGAAATTGTATAGCACACTATTATGTATTTATTGTTTGTATATGCTTTTAATAAGTTAATATAAATGAATTTATATAATATATAATTGTATAATTGTGCTTGTATTATTGTGAGTCTTTGCTTTATAAGATGTTTAGTATGTATAGATGATTATTGTTTTAATTATATTTGTTATAAATATCAGTTTACTGTATTTTCGTGAAATAACGCGCAGAGGTAAAATTATAAATTTCGGTCTAAATTAAGCTTAATTTGGGTCAAACTTTGAAATAATTCTCATGCCCGTTATTTCGCTAAAATATGGTATAAATTTTAGATTGTTTATTTTTTATTATTATCTTTCTTTTATTTTGTTGGAGTTTTTGTTAGCATGGTTATTTATAATTTGTGATTATTAAAGAGTATTATTTTAATACAATGAAGAGAAAAATAATGTGGTTTGTACTTTAGTTTAATATAATGTTTGTTAGTTAAGTTAATTTAGATATTTATATTTTATTATTATTTTATAATTTATATATTTAAGAGGTAAGATAGTTAACTGTTATTTACGTTATTTAAGTTATTATGATATAATTAATTTTTAAGAAACAACAAGTTAGGAAATGTAGAGAAATTTGGATAGTTATAATGGGAATCGGGTATGGTTGTTAAAGGTATTTTAAGACTATGTAGTGTGTAATAGAATTTGTATAGCTGTTGTGGCAGTGGAATTGATAGCAAAATATATATTAGTATTGCCACTGTAATGCAAAGCTGATGTTTGTGAGTTTTGTGTTTTGTAATAAAGAAGGAAATATGAGTAATATAAAAAGTCAATATTAAAAATAAAGTAAGGGTAGCGAAAATAAGATAATTTATCAGAGATCTTAAATATTATTAGCGCAATAATAATAATTTAATTTTTTTGTATAAATTTTTGCTGATACATATTTATAATTTAATTATAATACTGTACGTATAATAATTGTATAAATTATAATTTTAATTGAAATAACTTGCATTTAACTGGAAATTTAACAATTGACAAATTTGATAAACCTTTGATAAGCCTTTGATAAGCCTAGTGCTCGGCCAAAT